CACATTTGACTAATCAACATTAATAATTCAATCCACGCACAATTAATAATATTAAATAGTTGTGGAACATCTGTGTCGAAGTGTCAAACAATTGAATTTCTGTCTCTAGCTTAGCTTGCTGTCAATTTTACATACTGAACTATATATTTGACTCTACAGTCCACAATAATAATAATAATAATAATAATAATAATAACAATATCTCTAGGTGGCCTAGTGGTCAAACAATAAACTCATCATTCATTTTTGACACTAAAACTATATAGTATTTGTCTTTAATAATTAGTTTTAACTTTTAATTTATACACATGCATGCATTAAACAATCTTTTAAATTCGATTCCTAGCTAGTTAGTCTATTCATTTTTCTAAATCATTAAAAAAATTAAAACAACATATAATATAAATTAAGTCAACTTACCGGATAAAATTGAACGAGGTAGCTAGATATATAGTTTGCCCCCTATACTAGCTAATTAATTATATATGAAAAGGATTGTTTGTAAATTAAATAATAATGATATATATATATATATATATATATATATATATATATATATATATATATATATGTGTGTGTGTGTGTGTATATATATATATATGTGCAGGGCCAGGGTGTTCATCAGTAGGGTACGGCGAAGCAGAGGAGTTAGGGCCATTCTTCCCACAAAAAGGAAAGCCTGAGCTCAAGTTCAATCCTCACACTTGGAACAAAGGTATATATATATACATATATATGTAGAGTTTAGCTAATTAATATAATGTATAATAATTATGTGTTGGTGCAGCTGCGAACTTGCTGTTTGTGGAGTCCCCTGTGGGTGTGGGATTCTCATACACAAATACTAGTCGTGATCTCAAGGAGCTGGGCGACAGCATTACTGGTAATTAATTACGAATATATATGGTAGCTGGATGTGGCATGCAATTAATTAAAATTTGAATTGTACCGTACCGTGTTGGATCAGCCAAGGATTCGTACGTGTTTCTAGTGAACTGGTTTAAAAGGTTCCCACAATTCAAGTCCCATGATTTCTACATTGCTGGAGAAAGTTATGCAGGTATGTATGAATATATATGTACACCACATACAACATCTCATCTCAATCATCTGAATTAATTTTGTTGTTCATATATACTAGCTACTCGATCTTATATATATAATAAAAATTCAATTCACTACGTCAGGGCATTATGTTCCACAGCTGTCAGAGCTCATCTTTGACAACAACAAACTTGTCTAGAAAGAGGATTATATAAATTTCAAGGGATTCATGGTATGTTTGTATGTATGTAATTATTAAGAGTAGCATGCATATATAAGATTAAGATAGTCCTTTGCTTTTACGGATGGGAGTATTAATTAAGTAATAATATATGCAGATAGGGAATGCCCTGATGGACGATGAGACAGATCAGACAGGAATGATAGACTATGCATGGGATCATGCGGTGATTTCAGATGGTCTATACCGTGACATAAAAGCCACATGCAATTTCAGTGTTTCAAAGCCTTCAAATTCATGCAACACCTTCCTTAATAACTACTTCCACGTTTATGACATCATTGACATGTACAGCTTGTACACTTCCACCTGCCCAGACTCCAACTTTAGCACCACACCTGCGCATCATGTTCCTGTTCCTATTATACGAGGCCTCGCTCCTCTACTGTTTTCCTATTTCGTATGTACCATGCATGTATTATATACATATTATGTATATGCAATTATATATGCCAATAATAATAAAATATAATGTACGTAGGATGGGTGGCACAAGAGACCAACGGGCTATGACCCATGTGCGTCGGACTATACAGAGGTGTATATGAATCGTCCTGATGTTCAGAAAGCTCTTCATGCCAATACCACTGGAATTCCCTACCCATGGACTCACTGCAGGAGGTATACATAATATATTATGATAGCTTAGCTTAGCTTAGCTAAGCTAGTAAAATATAATATATCACGCACCTTTAATTTAATTTAATTAATACTGTATGTATATGTAAATATGTAATTAATTACGTCTGAATTCTAAAATTTGATATATATATATATATATATATATATATATATATATATATATATATATATGATGGATGTATGAATATAATGGGTACTCACTAGCTCACTCGATCAGTGACAACACCACATCGTGGGGCGACGCACCAGCTTCTATGCTGCCTACAATCAACAAACTAATAGCTGGTGGTGTCCGTGTTTGGGTATACAGGTAACGACTTTATTATGTATATATATATATATATATATATATATATATATATATATATATATATATGCTGCATGTAATTATATATGCCCCATTAATTAAGTAGGAGTTACCTTAGTCAGGTTGGATCTTCACCAATTTTGAATTGATATATTTATTTACAAATCTAGGGTGATGTTCAAATGAGAATCCGGCCTCCGGCCAGCATGCATCTCATGAGAATTTGCGAATTAGTACATCAATATCATATTTCAGTGCACAATTTACCCCTGAAATAATTTTTGTGCATTTATGTCGATTCGCAGGTTCTCATTTGATCATTAATCTACAAATCTATCTATTTATCTCTTAACTTTTTAATTATTCATTAACGTACAGTGGAGATACTGATGGAAGAATTCCAGTGACTGCAACAAGGTATACGTTGAAAAAACTGGGATTGAACATCATCCAAGATTGGACTCCTTGGTACACTGACAACAAACAGGTAGGTTAATTTCAAATTCAATTTGTTGGGACTTGGGAGAAGAAGAAAAACAAGCTAAGGTTAATTTCAATTCCAACTTAACCACAATATTATATTCAATTCGTTTATTTATTACAGTACTTGATAGCGCAGCTATAATTAATTAATTAATTAATGGGTACGTATGTTTGTTGTTTCAGGTTGGAGGGTGGAGTATAGAATATGAAGGATTTGTATTTGTGACAGTAAGAGGAGCTGGGCATCAAGTTCCCACCTTCAAGCCAAAGCAAGCACTTCAGTTACTCACCCACTTCTTGGCCAACCACACTTTGCCATCTTCACCTTATAATTAATTTGCATTTACCCAAACCAATCAATTTTATATAAATATATATAAAATAATTACGTATCATATCGGACTATTATTTGTTTTGTTGCCAACTACTTGAATGTAATTTAATAAATAAATCAGGCATCAAATTTATTCTTTCAAAAGGCTGAACCCCACACCCCGGTGACTGCGCACAAGGAGCCCCTCTCAATTTATTCTTCCAAAAGACTGAACCCCACACCCCGGCCCGACAGAGCAGTGACTGCGCACAAGAGCCCCTCCTCTCATTTTAAGAGGTTCCTCTCATTTTAAGAGGTTGCTCTCACACTGCCGCCCTCTCATTTTAAGAGGTTGCTCTCACACTGCCGCTGGTGAGACTCGATCCCTGGTCATTCTTCCAAAGTTTCACCTCTATGACCAGTTGAGCTACCCATGCGGGCAAATATTCAATATTTTACCATTCTTCCAAAGTTTCAAATTTATATTTATATATATAATAATCATTATTTTACTATTTCGTATTAATTAATTTACCATTCTATGAAGTCCCTATATTATAGTATTTTATTCAATTTAGTCCTTTAGTCCCCTACTTTAAAAAGTGATCAAATTAAAGACGATAGTCAACGGTGTTAATATTATTGTTAACTTAACTTATGTGGTACTGACATCATTACTGTCACATCATGTTATTTATATTTCAACTCATATATTATTTTATAAATATTTAAAATTAATTATTTTTACCACTAATATATTACATTAATATGTACAAAAAAATAATAATTACAAGGATGCTGACATCAAGTGTCCAAATCTCATTAGGAACATGATTGTAATTATTTATTTTGTGAATACTAATTTAATATATTGGTAGTAAAAAATAATTAATTTTAAATATTTATAAAGTAATAAATAAGTAGAAATATGAACATCATGATGTGACAATGATGATGTCAGTGCCACGTAACTTAAGTTAACGGTAATATTAACACCGTTAACTATTGTCCTTAATTTCACCACTTTTTAAAATAGAGAGGCTAAATTGAATAAAATGCTATAGTACAGGAACTTCGTAAGTACTTTGATCGACAAAATCTGGTCAATTTTGAGTGACCGAAACTGAAATTAAATTATCAAAAATAGAATATGAGGATCAGAGGACACTAGTTCCTCTTGACACTGGTGGTTAGAGTAAGACAATTCTATCAGATAGGTCAAGAGTTCAAAACTAGTACTAGGGGGGAAGGAAGAGAAAAGAGAGTAGAGGTATTCTAAAATACCTCCCCCCTCTACCTTTTTTAGTCTACTCCGTATTATATATGGGATCAGGTGCGGTGATCAGCTTTTGTGAAAGATGAGGTTTAATATCAACCCTTGATATAACCGATCAAATTTAAGGTGCATGATTTTTGTGTTTAAGGTGCGTGATTTCTGTAATGTATCCTTAATGTGCGTCAGTTGTTGAAACTTAAGATGTGTCGGTCTAAAACTTTAAGTTCGTGATTTTCCTTCTTAAGGTGTATGGTCTGTGTGCTTAAGGTGCGTTTTTTTTTTTTTTTTTTCTTAAGTGCGTTATTTTCCTTTTTAAGATGCATGATTTTCCTTATATATATATATATATATAAACAATATTCAAGAAATTTGTAATCCTAGTATAACAGTAATACACAAAAAATGTGGTTAATTTTGAGTGACCGAAACTGAAATTAAATTATTCTATAAAATTTGATGGTATTAAAAAGAAATTTGACGATCATAAGACACCAGTTCTTCTTGACACTGGTGGTTGGAGAATGATAATTCCAACTCATAGGTCAAGAGATCGAAACTGGAAGAAAGAGAAAGAATAAAGAGGTATTCCAAAATACCTCCCCCCCCCCCCCTCCTTTTTCAGTCTGTCTGTTTTCACGTAGAGGAATTATTTCCTATAGTTAATTTGCGGGAAATGAAAATTGACATCTTCATCTATTTAGTACTATGACATTTATATGATATTTTCAGACCTTCAACAATCTTGTGACATGTAAAGGCAGACTTCCACCCGAAAAGGAATTATGACAAAGTATAGCGACCAATATAAAACCACTAAAATTCTCAAGTTATATGTGATAGTATATAAAATAATGGCACAATGTTGAGCAGACACTGTTTTTGGGTAGGAACCAAAGACATTGGCATACAGGATTGGTGTTTCATGCTTGATTCCTAAGAAATCCTGCATCCTCCTCCCTCAGCCTCAGGGGCATTCACTATCTATATCTGCTAACTGTTACCAGAAGTGGAGACTTCAGCACTACAGACAGGACACACCTGCATGCATGAAAATCATAAGCCCAAAGTCAATGCAAACAATAAGCATTACTTTTCACAAGTTGCTTCAGACTACCACAACAAAAATTATTTTGGGTTGGTTAACACTTAACACAGTGATTGATTCTCACATTTTCTGTTCCTTTAGAACAAAAGAGGTGCATGGAATAATAATACACAAACAAAGGAGGCAATGGATGTGGGGTAATTCAAAAGCAAGATCATATATGGACGCAATATTGGAAATGGAGGACAGGGATTAATGGAACACGACAACAGAGATGATACAAACATCCCATACCTTGTTTATTCTTAGCCAGTTATTTATACATTCAGAATGGTAAGAATGTTTGCAGGAAAGCACGGTCAAGGTCTCGCCATCTTCATAATCCAATCTACAGATGACACATCTAACACAAAAGCAAGAATTTTAAAACAATATCTTAACTTAAAGAGTAAAATATGGGTTTATTGTGCTCACGAATCATTTGCTCCATCCTGAGTATTTTGTGATTTGTAGTTCATTGAAGGTAAAGAGGCAATTGTATCTGCAGAAAGTCCCCTGCTCTCAGTTCCAACTACTTCACCCAACGCTAATAATTCCTGCAGTTAAAAAAAAAAAAAAAAAAGAGGAAATTAGAACTTCATTAGACTTGAGAAAATTATATATTGAAAAAAAATAAAATTACAAAATATTCCAAATTCACCTCATAAGAGAGTTCATCTGGATCAACTTCCTCCCAGGCATCCTGCAAAGTCCAATATAAGAAACATTTTGTGAATTCACTCAACACATAGTGCTACACTGACATTGGAAAACAATTGCAGTGATAAACAGAAAGTCATACTTTCCCTTTGCCACAGGAATGCATATATGAACATGCACACACATATGGGTTTTTGACTGAAATAGGAATGGGCCATGGGTGATTGACAAGAATAGGCATGAGACTTTTTTTGGACAGTCAAGGGAAAACCGAGTTTGGGAAATGCGTTTGTGCTGAAAACCGCATTTCCCAAACTCGGTTTTATTAAATGCCAAGGTCAACTACAGCCGCATTTCCCAAATGCGGCTGTAGTATAATATACCACAACCGCATTTTCCCAAATGTTGTAGTATAAAGCAAATCCGCATTTGGGAAATGCGTTTCTCTTATTATACGAGAAATGCATTTTCCAAATACGGATTTGCTACTGACTGGCCGCGTCAGTCGGTATATGACTGACGTGACCGGTCACGGCAATCATATTTCCTGCGCCGCCGATGACCCTTCTCTGGATGTGCGACTGGTGGACACTAAGCGAGGCAACAAGATCATAGCTTTTTTCCTGAAGAACCCTTATGCTAGGCTTACTGTGCTGTATTCTCATGGCAATGCCTCTGATCTGGGCCAGCTTTATGACTTGTTTCTTCAGCTTAAAGCTAATCTCCGAGTCAACATCATGGGGTCTGCTCTGCTCTGCTAGCTATTTCCTTTTTCCAAAATTTCTTTCCTTTTTTGAGCTTAAAATCTCTGCATTTTATTTAAAGCTCATTGCACCTCTTAATGTGAATGTGGCTTCTACAGTTATATTTACAGATTTTCCAGCTATAATTTCTGGGCTTTTTGATTTGGAAAAAACTTACTTGGATATGGTGGATCTCCGGTCTCAAAATTTTTAATTTAAAATAAAAATCTGATCTTTAGCGCCACCGTTCTACCCTCTTCATTTGTTTCATCATTAATCTGGAGAAAAGGTGGCTTTTCTTTTCTTTCTTTGAATGCCGATTTCGTTTCTTAAAAGTAAAAAGAGTCTTTTTCCCTGGTAGGGATAGGTGGGGGAGAGGGGGGTGACTAAAAATAAATATGATTGACGTGACCGGCACATCAAGCAGTGACCGGTCACGTCAGTCAAATACTGACTGACGCGTCCCGTCAGTAGCAAATCCGCATTTGGGAAATGCGGTTGTGGTATATTATACTACAGCCGCATTTGGGAAATGCGGTTTTCAGCACAACAGCATTTCCTAAACTCGGTTTTCCCTTGACTGTCCAAAAAAAGTCTCATGCCTATTCTTGTCAATCACCCATGACCCATTCCTATTTCAGTCAAAAAACCCACACATATACACATATATGGAGGTGTCCATTAACTTCATTCAATATGATTTGATATCTTTAATTAAAACCTTGAGTAGTGGAATACACTAGACTAGCATAAATCTAGAAACTAGCAGCATCTAGGAAGATCATCAAGGAAATGAACCAAACAAAAAAAAAAAAAAATGAAATTAAAACCCAAAGTTAATTGGTAAATGCATAATAACCTAACACATTTAATCTTGAAATGATAATACTATATGCAACGAATTCAAACCAGAATTCTACCTGGGAATTTTGGCCATGATCTTCTTCACTTAGAGCTTGGCCTACATAACATAAAAATGTTATCAAGCATAATACTATAATAGTAAAAGAAAGAAAGAAGATACAAAACTGTTGATAATAATTTTCAACTAGTATGCATGCCTTCATTTATCCCAGCAAGGGCCAGCAATCTGGCTGCCATTTCCCTCTCTTCAGCTTCTTGTAGTGCTCTAGCATAAGCCTCATCACTTGGAAAAGCAGATGGGTCCAGCTCAATACCTAAGTTCTCATCCTCACTTGCTTCATCATGAGCATGAACATCAAAGGCATCTTCATCCTCCTCATCTACATGGCTGCCATCTTCTTCACTAGGATCATCGAAATTATCATCATCATCATAATCATATCCATATTCATCTTCACTGACATAATCACTCGCATCACCATTCATTGTAAGCATCATATATGCTCTTTCCTTTTCAGAAGAAGAAGAAGAAGAAACAAAAAAGGAAGAAGACAAAGTCATTCAGAATTCAAGTATAGATGAATTGGAAAGGATGGAAAGATACTTGAATTATACATTCCCAATCATCCTTTAAATCCAAATGAAGTATTTCTAAAAACTAAGCTTTCATTTCACAACATTCGGAATTTCAAACTCGGAAAAGAGAAACTGCAAACTTAACGATTTTGTTTTCCAGTAGATAAGACAGCTTAAGTTGAAATATATTAGTCAAGTGTGTGGCTTTAATTTTAATTATAATTATTATTTTGTAATTGATGGATTAAATTCAGTACAGAACTGGAAGACCACACAAGACAAGCAAACATTTACACTTCCAATATTTGTGGACCTAAACTTATTTAGATCATTATCTCATAATCACAATAACAGAAGATGAATGAAATACAAAGTCCAGATTCCAGAAGCTACACTCAGCTAATAATAGCTCTATGTACATAGAATTACAATACATAAAACAAAGACCTGCATCTCCTGCCATCTAAAAGTAAAGGAAATAAATGTTTTGCAGATATAATCTCCTACCTCACAAATACACATATAACGGATACAGGTATAGAGACATATGAAAAATACAGGCGAGAGAAGTGAATCCCTACAACTCTGATTAACTAAAGCCAAGCAACAAAGTATCATAAGGATATTGACATCTTTAACAAGATTCTTGATAAGAATTAGGACTGGAACAAGAAAATTAGTTGACACACTGCCAATATTTTGCTAAATAACACATCTTTAAGCACATGGTCCACATTCAAGTTCATATTTTAATACATAATTTATATAAAGATGAGAAAACAATTGGATGTAATGATTTTGATCAAGGACTCCAGTGGTTTCAAGAATTTTCAGATATGAAAACCATAAATTGTAATTAAAAGCAACTAAAACAAGAAAAGGACAAGCCAGATAAGCAAGTAACTGAGGGAGACAAAACCCGTAACATCTTCCTTGGAAAAGATGCAAAGAAAAGCATAAAAATGTAAATCCAGAGAAATTAGCCGGGAGCAAAGAGCTACCTGCTCCTGTAAGGTGCGGGCAAGGGCGAGATCAGCATCGATTTGGCTGAGGTCGGTGAAGGGAGTTCTCCTAGAAGGCTGGCGCCCTCCTTGGGCGCCTTGATTTACATTTGTACTAGCACCAAATTCACCCTCGCGGCTCTCCTCCGCTACTGGCGCAGGTATAGCACTAGTGTTATTAGTTGGCAAATTATTAATAGGGTTTTCCTGGTGGTCGTCGGCGGTGGTTTTAGCCACTTCGCCGCCGTTGTTGGTTCCATTATTAGCTTTGGCGTTCTCCATTTCTTGACAATTAAAGATAGAACCTAGAGACAAATGAAAAGATGATGAAATTGTGACAAATACAGAGCAATAACATTTTTTTTTTAAACAATAAATATGAATCGCATATTGGAATTACCAGATGAGAAGTCTGAAGAAAGTGATTCCAATATAAGTCGATTGTGGGTGGAGTACTGCGGTGCGGTGTTAGGGTATTGCAGTACTTGAGATTTTGTTTTCAGAGAAATTTCAAATATACTCTTGCCCCAAGATATGCTGTTTCACCCACCAAGTCTCCGTAATTTTAAATGACTCCCAAAGTTTTTGAGATATCACCAATGTGCCCCTTTTGGTTTTCCAATTTCCACTTTTCCTATCTATACTCTATAGACTATACTATTCCCCTTGCCATTTGCCATGGGAAATTTGATTGTGCCCATTTGTTTTTAACGCAACATATTAATTTGAATCCAACCAATAATTTATGGCAAATTTTGATTATATAGTAAATAAAAATGTTTACTTTTTTTTTTGAGTGTACTTTGAGAGGCCGACCAAGGTTTACCAAATAAACTTCACAATAACCAAGGATCTTGTGGTCCACTGGTACTCGATTGTTTCCTATGTGGGATGGTTTGAGCCTTAATAGAGACCCTATTCAGTTTAATAGGTTGTATATGTAGGTATCTCATTTTCCTTATAAATAATAATAAAAAAAAAACACATAATTTAATATTTTGCAAAAATAAGTTGGGAGTTTTGAATAGGGCCATAATTAATCCTGCGGAGATAATCCGCCCTGTCACACAAAGAAGGTACAAGCTCTAAAAAAATTTAATTTATGACTCGTTAAATTGACAGCTTGTTTAACTCACGCTGCCATGGCGGGCTTTGACAATAACTTAGTTTTGAAGCCTAAATGACCCCCAAAGACAACGAAGGTATTATTTATGAAAGGCTAAATTGGAAAGTATTAAGGCCCTGTTTAGTAAAAAATTGGCCTATAGACCAATTTTGGCTTATTTGACCACTACTCATTGTTTGATTTAGTTAAAATATCAATATAAATGTTTGGTTAATTAGCTTTTTGCAACTCCAAGACAAAAATTCAAAAAGCTACTCTAAGCAACTTTTTCAATTAGTTTTTTGAGAAAAAAATTATACCCAAATAGCTAATTTACCAAACACTTTTCTACAATCAGCTAATGTTATCAACTATTTATACCCTCTAATTAACACAATCAGCTAACAGCTAACAGTCATTTTACCAAACAGGGCCTTAGTATTTATCAAAGGCTTAGCATAAGAAATGAGTAAAGCATTTGAATGTCCAATGTATATGTATATGTATGATAAAACAATGAAGATTAAGTGGGTGAAATTAGAAACAAATGTAGAGGAGGGCAGGCCGAAAGCATAAATTCATTTGGCGTCAAATGTTGCGACTTGTGGTAGAGAAATGAGCATGTAGCAAGATTTGGTTCCCCATTTCATGGACCCAATTTTTACAATAACCTCTGTTGCAGCCTGCATCTTCCATTCAATTCAATTATGTTTTATTGACAACAAAACAATACAGCCTTTGTTCCTGAACACTACAGTCTCAGCTGACAGCTCCCTAGTCCTTAGTCCCTAGTCCTTCACACAATAATCTTGAATCTCCCTCCTTCATGACTTCTCTCCAACCCATATTTTAAATGGAAGTAAGTTTCCCAGACACACACCAGAGTATTGCTTGAAAGATGGATGCACTTCATCTTCAGCAGAGCAGCCGGATATGATCACATACTCTTACCAAGGTCAAGGATGAGACACAAAATTATGCATTCACAAATCTGCTCCAAACCTGCTGGAGGCTCACTCCTTGCAACTTTATAATTAGCCTGCAAAAAGTTATACTGAAACTAGCTAGGAAGAACATCATTATCTTATCTGGAGAAAGTAATGAATTGCAAGTTTTGGCTTTTCCCTTTTCAGGTTCCTGTTCATTCAGAATTACCATGTACTGTACCACTCACTCATAAAACAATTCAATCCAATCCAAAACATTAATTTTGACATATAGTCTTCTGCATCACACAGTGAAAGCCTTCTGCAGTATGAGCAGAAAATGACAGTAAAAATTACCATCTATCACACCCAAACATTTAACATGTGAAATCTGTATCTTTAACAATGGAACACAAACATATATATATATTTGCACAGTAATGAAGTCCAAATCACTCATCTCATATTTTAGCAAGCTAGCTAGCTAGCTGAGCAACAAATTACAGAAATGTTATTGACTTGAAACCTCCTTGGCTTCATTACAAAACATTCATGAACACGTGTGGAACTACATTTCTTCATAGTCCACAAAGCAGACCCTAGTATATCTTCTAATGACCCAGGTGAACAATTGAATTTATTATGAGCATTGTGTTGTGCCCAAGGTGGAGGACTTCCCACCACCAATTCATCACCAAACACCCAAAACTGGAGAAATTGAAAGACTAAGAAATGGAATGAAGCAAACCGCCTAAGTTTAATTCATCAAGTGCGCAACCCTACTTTCATTCTTCACTCGCTAAACCCTAAACCCTAAAATTAACAACAATTTTTCATCTACACAACAACAATAACAGACAGCAACAGCCCCACACACACACACACACATATATATATATATATCGCCATATTAACAGTAAGATAATAGCCATAGCTTTAACGTCCGTCGTCATCTCTTCGGCCGGATGAAGGAGGTGGAGGACCTGATAGAGAAGCTAGCAAATTGAGGTGGCCTTGTGCTATGGGCAAGTAATTCCCAACCCTAGCTGCCGACGCCTCGCCCATCTGTTGCTGTAGAAACCGGGAAGGGTGGGAATTCAATGCGGGTGTGGGTACCACCATCTCATGAGGAGCCGCCGCAAAGCTCCACACCTGGCCGAAGTCCGGCCTGGGAGGGATAGCCCAAAATCCAGCAGTGGGACCCACGACAGTGGCTGTGCCGGCGACGTCGTCCTTGTTCCCACCTCCGTCGAGACCATCTTCCTCTGAGCGGAGGCGCTTCCCGAGAATGAAGGGAGCGGATGAAATCAAGGAGTGGGACGGCTTCTGATCGAGCGGCGCGGAGATAGAAGGGCTGGTGGTGGAGGAGGAGTTCCTGACCGAGACAGAGACAGTAGAGAAGCTAGCAGGGATGGTGCCAGTACCAGTGGCGGCTATAATAGATGGCTCGGCCTGGCGGAGGAGCCACTCAATAGTCTGGCCATCGGATTTGTGGCCGAGCTCCCTTGTGAGCTGAAATACTCTGGCGGCGCACACAATCGGCATGCGTATGCGTCTGCCTCGGCCATCAACCTTGCTATGGCGGTCCTTGGCGGGCGGCTTCTTGACAACTAAGGCTCCATTGGAGGGCGGCGGCTGCTGCTGCCTCTGCTTTGGGTCAATAATCGCACCATTAGCTTCCGCCGACGTGGACATAGCGCCGCCAATGGATGGGTCTGCTAGCAAATAGCAATACACCCGAGTAGGTGTTTGAGAAAAATACTGAAAGAATGGTACAGCAGCAGCAGCAGCAGCAGCAGCAGCAGGAGATGAAGATGAAGATTAGAGAGTAAAATTGGTGAGTAATGGGAATGGGGGGAAGAAGAGAGGAAGGAGGGAACAGGGCTCTAATCATTGAGCGGCAGCGGCTGGTGGAGACAGGAGGAGGGCACATGGGTGGTGGGCTCCACTTCTCTACGTATACGGTATACTACAAACACACACAGCTCACGCCCCTTCCTTACGCTCACTCACTCACACTCCACGCGCCCTCTTTCACTTCCACCATCTTCCAACTTCCAACTTACCACTTCCCTTACAAAACTATCCAAATTTACAACCTTATTTTACATTGCATGTCATGGAGTAATAAATACAAGAATAGAGTTAGTTCCCGCAAAGTTCCTATGATTATATTGTTTTTCCACATTTAGTTCTCGCTTTTTAATTTGACACTTAATTAATAAAAAATTTTCAATACTGATCTTTCTGTCATCTTATCGTTATTTAGACGTCAAAATCAGGGGTAAAATCGTCATGTCATTTGCTGAGTGTTTTCTTCCTCTTCGTTCCCTTATCTATACGGTTTTCTAGTTTGTAAAACACCCATGAATGCAGACCGGGTTCATCGTCGAATACTCCAGATTTTGATATATGTCAAGTATATAAAGGTAACAAAGAGGAAGAAGATACTAAACAAATAAAATGATGATTTTACCTTTTACTTTGACGTCCAAATAATAATTAGGTGACGGAAGGACCAATATTAGAAATATTTTGATAATCGAGTATCAAAATTTAAAAAGTAAGTCTAATTGACTTTTTAGATAAAATTTAAAAATTTATTTAACTCTTTTTTTAATTAAAAATAGACATTTTGAAACGAGAGAAGTATTTAGCAAGTAGAATTGTTTCGAGGCAGCCTAGGGTCGTGTTTGTTGGGTTGGCGTTGGCCTATGCACAGATAAGCAGGATTTTGGGTCCAAAATGAGAACAGAGAATTAAGTAGGGGTTGTCAGAATTGGGGCCCACAATAAAAATCCGTACTTTTTAGAAAAAACTTTCCCTGGTTGAGATTGTTCCTCACTGATGACTGATGAGCTAGCCTAGCAATCTAAGATTGGGCCCACCAGCTAGTTTCCCTCATTTTATTTTATTTTAAAAAACAACAATTATTAAAGGGGGAGGGCCGAGGGGGGAGCATTAAAGATTTAAAGATATAAATTTCTTTTATTTTGTACAGTAAAATTTAAGAATGAGATTGGTGTAGTTTCTAATATAATAATAAAAATTGCACGTCAATGAGTTGTTTCCTCCCTGAGTGAGTGTGGTCCACGCGCGGTTCACCTATCGTGTAGAATATTCACGTACAATTGTTACCGTTCTGGCTTTATTCAGTGGAGTAGTCCGTAGCGAGTGAATGGGAGTCTACCCCCAACAATCCTCAAAATTACGTCAAAATGCCACTCCGACCCATGGGTTCCAACTTCCAATACAGCCCAGGCTGCATAGTGGCATTACTAGGAGTAGTAAGAAACTAAGAATGAATTCTCAAAAAAAAAAAAAAAAACAACTAAAAATGAATGATTTGAGTGCGTGCGGTGCATGAGAAATGGTATTGGAGTAGCTTTTAATGATTAGAGTTCTAATACTTCTAAATTCTATCTTTTCATTTTACTTCATAATATGTTAATAATGATAGGTTATTAAGTGAATTCCAAAAATAATTACTACATTTAATTAAAATTTTTAAATTCAAAATTTATGTCTAGCAAAGTCACTTTGCCCTTTAATTTTTAACATGCTTATAAATACTTACAAATTAATTAATTTTTTTTTTTTGGGTATAGTTCTCTTTGTATAGTCATGGTATTCTTGTAATTTGACAAATGATAGGTATATGGTCCTTTTAAAAATATATATATATATATATATATAATCCAACACTAACTCATTATAAAGTAAAATTTGATATGAGGTACTATACATACTTTATTATAATAAGACATTGTTATAATATTATATGATATTTTAAGTATTTATTTATTTACATTATTTAAATTTAATAATAAATAATATAATTATTGAATATATGTTATTATTCATGCATCGCGCAGGTGTTATATTAGTTAAAAATAAAAATAGAAATCGAGAGAAAAAGGAATACATATAATATTTTCTTCATGATTATGGGCGAAGGAGTACCGATTACATCTCATCTCCGTGTGATACGGTTGTGATTTTAATTAAAGGCACACGGGTGCAAATATTCCACACTCACAATTGCTTAATCCTCATTATTATTTAAATAATTTAATCATTTTTCCTTCTCCAACTACTACGATAACGATAATTGTCGTTTCGACAAACGACAAGGGGAAATCTTTGCCACGGATATTGATTCTGCTTTTAATTTGTTAGTGTTGATCATTACATTACTACTCTAATACTGAAATTATGGGACCACCCTCAGCTCAGCTCAGCTCGCTAATCCCCATCCTCAATTTATTGATTATCATCACGTCTCTCACTCCCTCTCTTTACCATTATTATTATTATTATTATTATTATTATTATTATTATTATTATTATTAAAAATATTACCATTATTATTACTATTATTAAAAATATTACTTGGATTCTAAAAATTTATTTCCAACTTTCACTCTTATTTGTGTTTAAATTTTATTGGATAAAAAAAAATGATGAATTGAAAAACATCATGATCCCCTATTATATTAAGCAATCAAAGTTTGTCACATCATAGAGAGTAAGAAATAAGAGTATATGTAGAATTACCCTATTATTATTATTATTATTATTATTATTATTATTATTATTATTATCTTGCCAATCACTCATCGGACTTCTTGTAATGCATACTTGCCTCTTCGAATTTATGGAAGGAAATCTATGAACTAGATTCTGAAGTGATGGGAGTGTTGTATGGGCCACTATTGTACCGTGTCCTACCAACTTTTATCAAGGGGAAATTTAATGCCGGAAGCCCAAATTATTCTGTGAATCCTGGCCAGTTTTAAAACCCCATGGCAAATTATTGGGTGAATCATGGTCCACGCAGTGTTATGTAGACCATAACAAAAAGTACATTTTTAATATATTAAATTTATATTATTTTTGTGTCGAATGTACTATAATATACAAAATATGATATACACAACTTGTATAGACCATGGTCCACACAATAATGGTTTCAATATTACTAAATCATTTAGTTCTAAATATTTACTTTGACAATTTATTTATTTTATAAAGAAGAGGAGTGTACCCTAAAACAAAATCACATCTTGCAGTTGAGCAATCCTTATACCAAGGACCAGGTTTACAATGCACTGTGGACTTTGATACATGTATATGTGTTGTATGTCGTAAGTTTTTGCGTCAGGTGTTATCAAATTCTGTGTCTTAAGAGTATGTACCTGATGAAAGTATGAAACAAATTAGTCATGGTGTCCTGGGAAGAAAACTTGCTCCTGCAACTAAAAGGGACAAGTAAACGTTATTGCATATATGAATATTTGAAACTATATATGCACTGGCATGGCTTAATGAAACGAGAACATAAATTACAGGCTTGGCTTTATCAGAAATTAATATGGGCACAAAAACATGATTTCCAAATTACATTTTCAGTGGTATGATATAATGAAATGAAATAGCTAAAAAGCAAAATCTGGTAGCTGAAGATTACACAGCACAGATACTCTCCAGAAGACCGTCAAGATGCTTCTTGAGCTTAACTTTTGTTATTGCGCCTTCCCTTCTGCTCTCTTCTACTACCTTTCCATCTTTGAAGAGAATCAAAGTTGGCAATCCGTAAACTTTGTACTCTTCGATCAGCTGAGGATTTGAATCATGATCAATCTTAACCACTGTTATCTTTTCCCTATACTCTTGTTCCTGGAATTCAATTCAATTCAAACAAAACAAGAATACTAGCAGTAAAACACAAACTCCAAATTCGATCTCATCTCAAGTATATATACATGCTTCAACAAATTTTAATTTTAATTGAATGAAAAGAAGACAGCAGCAGCAGCAGCTAATACGTACCTGAGCGATGGATTCTATAGCAGGAGCAATCAAGCGGCAGGGGCCGCACCAAGTGGCGACGAACTCCACTAAAACGGGTCGATCGGACTTCAAAACTACGTCGGAGAACTCCTCCTGCGTTATCTCCCTTACTGCTCCGCAGCTCACCCTGAGCCTGAGCCTGAGCCTGGACTTGGAGATAGAGGAACACTTTCCTAACCGCCCGCACCTCAGATTTGTGGTGGAGATGGGAGAAAGAAATGAGGATGCTTTATAGTTGCGGGGTGGTGGTGAGAAGGAGACCGTACGAGTCGGAGGGAGGGGCAAACCCGCCGGAATCTGCCAGCTTGAAGTTGAGGCGCCCAAGACTCCCATTGTTATTTGTTGAGCAACTGCTCTGCGACTCAAACACTGCTCACTTTTGTGTGGCGAGTATGGCTCTACGTAGCTTAAATACGATGCTTGCTTGCTTGCCACTTGGCTTTTTCTACGGACTATAAAATTTTATTTTTATTCCCAAACACATTATCCAGACCCGACGCCAGGAACCCCCCGTGTTCGAAAATTGCAATGATTAAACATGCCAAGATTTTGCTTCTCAAAACAAGTCTAATTTTATAACCCTGGTTTTTTTTTTTTTTTTTTTTTTTTTTTTTTTTTTTTTTTGAATGCTACCGAATCTATTACATTGTAGTATTTGTTCAAACACACTTTCTCAACCTAATGAAGCACACAGAGTCAACAACGTCTCCATTGAGGCTCAATCTCATGATCTCCCACATAGAAAAGGCCACTACATGTCATCTTATAACCCTAGTTAAGGCATTACATATCTTTTTCAAATCCTTAAACATCCATTGGGTAGTGTTTTTTTTTTTTTTTTTTTTTTTTTTTTTTTTTTTTTTTTTTTTGTGAAAACAAACGAAACTAATTTTCATTATCAAAAGCCAAATTGCTTACGATAAAAGAAAGAGGATCGTTAAACCAGACAATACGATTAGTCACAGAATCCAAACTTCCTAGCTAATACTCATACATAGACAAGCTGATTGTAGAAAAATATTTGATAAATTAGTTTTCAACTGTTAGTTGATTACATACAAAATGATCGAAAAAAACTACTTTGAACATTTTTTTTTGAATTTTAGCATTTTAGAGCAATAAGTTGTTCCAAAAAATTAATTAATCAAACACTCATATTGATTGTTTAACATTTTGATTGGTACACTAGACCTTTCTGGTCATGGGGACTTGGCTTTGGCTGGGTTAGAGGCGGACCTGTCTCGTTTGGGGCAGGGCCTGCGCGATATTCCGATCTGGCGTCCGACATCTGATGGTATGTTCTCTTTCTCCTCGGTGAAAGCCTTTATGTGACCTGCTAGGCTGGTTGACCCAGACCCCTTCCTTGCTAAATGTCGGCATAAGCACCTTCCTTTTAAGGTGTCCTTCTTGGCTTGGAGAGTGCTTCTGGGTCGCCTGCCTACGGACGATGTCCTATCTCGTTTCGGCCATGTGGTTGTTTCGAGGTATTGGTGTTGTCCGACTCCTACTTTGGATTCTATTGCTCATATTTTCTACTCAGGAGATACAGTGAGAGCTGTGTGGCATCTTGTGATTGCGTCCCTTGGCCTTCAGTCGCGGCACAGGAGTCTTAGGACTTTGCTCGCTGGCTGGGGGCGAAGTGGTTCGCATAATCCTCTTCGTTCTTTCATTGTTTGCAGGTTACCTTACTTGGTTTTGTGGGAGCTTTGGAAGCACCGTAATGGGTGCTTGCACGGTCGGGACACCCCGAGTGTTGCATGAGTGATGTTTGGGGTGGCCAGGGCGTGGTCGAGTGCTTATTCAGACGGTGGCCGGGACAGCATATCCTTCCTTCTAATTGGAGGATTATTGTGTCTTATCAGGAGGCACATGTGCCTAGACGAATGGTCCGTTCTGTTCGGTGGTCCCCTCCCAGGACGGGGTCCCTAAAGAGATTAATCTGTCACTTTCGGTTTCTGAAGGGGGGGGGGGGGGGGGGGGGGGGAGGGGGTTGCCGCTTTGGTTCGCAACCAGGGAGGTGGACTTTGCTTTGGGGTGGCGTGGTCGAGACTTGGGGAGTCTATCCGAGGCCTTTTCCGGGTTCTCTTCTCTTGTCTAGATTGCTGTCTTGCTGGAGGTCATCGGGATCTTGTGGTTGAGACCTCTATCCGAGAGCTGGGGGATTACTTTGATACTGCTGCCAACACACCTTGGTATATGGATGATGTTGCTACCAGGCTGCGTTTCCTATGTTCCTGCGGATCTATCTCTTTCATGCTATGTTCTTTTCAGGCGAATCTTCCAGCCCAAGCTCTTGCAGATTGGGTTCTTGATAAGCCTGGGGAGACTATCTTTTCCACACTTGCTGATCTACCACCTAGGGTGCGCACTCTTCTCGTTCATGATGATGTGCCCTATGTCTTTTTCGACTTTGAGGATCCACTGTGAGGGCGCTTGTTGTATTGTTTTCTTTGGTTTTTTTGTTTTCTTTGCACTTTCACTTCAGAATTTATTTTTCTTTATTGTTGAGCTAGTTGAGTAGTTGGCTTTGCTGGCATAGAGCGTATGGGGGCTTTCCAGTATTGGGGGTTTTTTCTTTTCTGCTCTGTGCTCTCTTTGCCTGTTCTGCTTCTGTTTGTGGCTGTGTGTTGGGCAGGATTTGATTATTGTGTTTCATGCATAGCAAACACTCTGAGGTGGGAGTGCTCCGTTAGTTTCAGTTGCTTGTATATATTGTTTGGTGGTTGGTAAAAAGGCTGGCTGTTTTATAAGGGTTGGGTGGTTGAGTGTGGGGCTTCTGGTGCTTAGCATATATACTGTTGCTTCTGTGGATAGTCGTATAGGTTCTCCGGGTCAAAATACAGTACGCTATACCAAGGGAGCTGGTCTAACGCTTAAGGGTGGTATATATGTTGGCACGGGTGGTTAGGGAGCTATCGCTTGGGGTTTTAAGCCGCTGACGCCCTCTGCGATAAAATGCAGAGATCTGTACGTACGAGGGTGGCCTTGGTTCCAAGGGTGGTGGAGGTGAAAATCATTGCTTATGTGGCGGACTGTGACGGTCCCCTCGGAAAAAAATGCAGATATCTGTACCGGAGGGGATCTGTCCAACGCATAAGGGTAGTTTGGGTATACATGTGGTGTGGCCTGTACCATTGCTCCTGTGGATGGTCATCCAGGTCCCCTCGGACATGTGGTGTGGCCTGTATCATTGCTCTTGTGGATGGATGATCATACAGGTCCCCTCGGATAAATGCAGAGCTCTTGACCTGACGCTTGAGGGTGGTATTGGTTCTGGCTTGGAGCATTGTTCCCACCCTTTGTGTAGGGCATGACGCTTGAGAATTGTATAGCTTGGCATGGGGTTGCAGACGGTTTGTAGTATGGGCTCCGGGCCCACTTTGCATTTTAGAGTTTGTCTCCTTTACTTTTTTAACTCTTAGGCTTTTCTGCTTTCGTTTCTCTTGTACTATTTGTAGCCTTGGTCACTTTTGGGCTTGCTTTCATTTCTCTTGTACTGTTTGTAGCCTTGGTCACTTTTGGGCTTGGCATGTATTTCCCTTTCTGCTTATTAATAAAAGACTTTATTTCCAAAAAAAAAAAAAAAAAAAAAAAAAGTCAAACCGCTAATAGTGGTCAAATAAGCAAAAATTGACTGATAAGCTAACTATTTTACCAAACGGCCAAAATGTATTGAAATATATATTAAAAAATATCTAGTGCATTTCAGCCAAAATGTGCATTCAAAGCAATTCATTAGCCGCATAAAGATCAAATTCATGTGCCAAAATTCCAGATCAAGTGTGCACAAGAGAGAATGATCCAATCTTCACTAACCACAGGAGAGATGAAAATAAATTGAAACTTGACCAAGTCATTGACTGCCTGCTCCAACAAAAACATCATATTTGTATATCTTGCCTTGCATCTCTAAAAAAGGTTCTCTCCAGCCCAAGAAGCAATTTACCATTTCTACTTATCATGACTGTAAACTTTCACTCTGCCACACATGACATAGCCTGCAATTCATGATCTCTCATTAGAAAACATAAGAATATAAACAATCAACAAAGAGAACATTTGGATATTACAAGCATAAAATGTTGCAGCAATACCAGAGTCCCAAATCTTAAACACAGATACAGAACCCCCCCAAAAATCCAATACTGAACACATGAATTGAGGGGGGAAAAAAAGGAATACTTAGCAACTACATTAAAAAAAAAATGTAGGCACATCATTTTGAAAGCAGTTTTATACCAATACACTAAACTAGAAAAACATCATATTGGTTGAGTATTTAAAAGATACAAATTTCCTATGTTTTATGGGCTAGTGATAAGTATAGAGAAGATTTGAGCAAAACCTGTGGTTTCTTGCATCAGTACACTATTAAGGGGCAACATTATAATGGTTTCTACTTTCTACTTCTCTAGCATCAATAAAGACCGTGTTAAGGGCAGATGTTTCAATTCAAAGCTTCTAATTGCATTTTCTGATCTGCAACAACACTGACGGAATAATTTGAACTCATTAACCTCAAAACCAGCTCTCTATAAATACATCTTCCAAATCACTCCTTTCCTATCATCACTATATAATAGGAAATTCACATTAGCCTTTGGATAGTTTCCACTTGGTTCCAATTTCCATCCAGGGTGTTTCAAAATCCCAGGTCATGAAGACTAAAGGATTATTATAATGATTACAAGGCACTTCCAGACTAGGAAAGTTTTTGCCATAAACAATACAAACCAAATACAATCAGCAAAGATGAGTAAGAGAAAAAGGGGGGAAATGTGTAACCATTCATGAAATTAGCAAAGATGATAAATAGAAATTAGAACAATTTAATGTTTAACATCTCATGAAATAGGAGAAATGGACAACAAATGCCATCTGAAATCTATAAAGGAGCAAGAGTAGGGTAAGATTATGCTTGTGAGACCATAAATATTCCAGGATAGTACAATATGCTGATGAAATCATAGAACTAGGAACCTTTATCCTAGGAACAATGTGTTGTTAACATCATAAACACATTTGGAGTTCCTTGAGTTATAAATTGTAGACCTTTCTCCAAGTGTTAATATAAATGGTAACCACCATGTGACAAATTAGACTATCACCACCAGTCAGTTTATAACTACATAAAAATCTATAAAGCCACATAAACACAGGAACCATATATTATGTGAGTGGAATATTGCATAAGCAACTGCCTTTTTTCTTCGTCTAGGAGAAAGTATTATGCAGAACAGATCTATTCAGTCAGCACAGAACAGTATGGATATCCAAAATAGGCTTTTGACATAAGAAAATTGTAACCTTGTGTCTGAAATTCTGAATCACTTACTATTGTCACTTACCAGCACTTTAGAGAATTCCAGCCATATATATTATATATTCATAGTAAGAGCAAGGAAAGAATCAAATGTTGTTTAACTAATTTGAGTCCCTATTCTGCTGCCAACCAGACTCTGAATCTCCACCATCAGGTGACCGTCCAAAATCCGTTGGGGGCCGTGGCAATGATATTGTGAACCTCCTCTCTAAGGTCCTCTGCCCCTGGGAACTGTTACCAGAACTGCCTGCGGCCGATCCCCCTCCATTTTCCCTAGCCCTGCTCTCATAGTCAGGGTCATCAGTAGGCAACTCATAGCGACAGACAGGGCACGAGTTATGCAACTCAAGCCATGGCAGGATACAGTCATTGTGGTAGACATGCTTGCAAGGCATCTGTTTAACCTCCATTCCGAGCTCAAAATCATCCTTACAGACAGCGCATTGTGCCAACTCTGAGCTGAGTAAATCTTTATTTGCTTTAATGGTTGGCAGTGCTGCCACTGCAGACTTGGATGCTGGCGGTGTTCCATATCGGTTCGGATCATTCTCTGCAAGTTGTTGGATTAAATCTTCAAATCCCGCACCAATGAAATAGTCCCCAATATTTCCAGGAAGTAGGGAACTCCCTTCCCCTCCAAATGGGCTTCCCTCAAATACAAACTCGAAATTAACACCGTCTGCTTGGCGAGAAGTTAGGTAGCTGAACAGAAAATCATATGGGTTGAACTCTTCACGCTCGCCCCTGACAGGAGATTCATGTTCCCGATTAGAGCGACGGCTATGGCGAGAGGAGTAGATTCTGGGATTTTGAAGGTCGGAGGGGGTGAAGAGAGAGGAGGCGACCGACGAAGAAGAATGAGAGTGCGAAGGGAATAACAAGCTGCTGAACAGGGAGTGGAACGCATCGGAAAATGTCGGGTAAGGGTCAGGGTTAGGGTTTTCAAACTTTTCCACGAAACCAGAATTGCACGTTGGACACAGGAGCTCGTCGGTTGAAGAGGGGGTAATGTCGACGGTGCGGTTGCATTGATGGCAGAAATACATTTGCGGCCCCACGTCGGCGACAGTGACTCCGGCGGAGGACATATCTCTGTATTTTTAGAGAGAGAGAGAGAGAGAGGAACCGGAACAGGGGAGTCGGTGAAAGGTCAAAAACAGCGAGGACTATCCAATACAGTTTTTTTTTTTTCGTTTTTTTTTTTTTTTTTGATTTTGTTTTTGTTTTTTAATAATAAACAGAAAATTAGCATTTTCAGTTAGGGAGTAGAATTATGGAGTCGAAGTAGCATTTTCAGTTTAAAAACCATCACCTCTAGTGAATCGAATTGCATCCCAATTTCCAAATGGATGCGTAGATAGACAAATAGGTTCATGAAATATGTCAAGGATGAAATACTATCATTATGAATAGATCTATTTCATTATTTATTTTGATCATTTTGTGATGGAATTCAGAATCAACTATTCCCTTTGCAAAAGATAAAACTCATTTTTAGAGAACTTTGATATTTGCTATTCGCCTATTCTCATGCTCTTGAAATAACTTTTATATTACAAATATCAAAAATATCATATATATATATATATATATATATATATATATGGAAGGGATCATGTACATTTGTTGCTTCCTGTGCAGTTGTGCGGTTGACTAATGTGCGTGAGATTTATACTTAATGTGCGTGAATCTTGTGCGTAATGTGCCTGAGATTTATACTTAATGTGCGTAAGTGTGTAATGTTAATGTGCGTGAGTCTTGTACTTAATGTGCCTTTGTGCTTAATGTGTGAGAGGTTTGTGCTTAATTAATGTGCGTGACTTTTAACACAATCGCACATGAAGCTATAAACAAAATACATTCAGACCACAAACTCATACACATTAAACACAAAAGTCAGACGAAGACGAAGACGTATATGATGAAGAACAGAGAGAGGGGAAGAGATAATTAAGGGAATAGGAATAGAAGACGAATACGTATATGATGAAAAACACAGAGAGAGAGGAAGAGAGGATTAATGGAAAAGAGAGGAAGAGAAGACGAAGACGAAGACGTATATGTACAGGAGCACATTAACATTACACACTCACGCATATTAAGTACAAATCTCAGACACATTAAGTACAAAACTCACGTACATTAACATTACACACTCACGCACATTAACCACAAGACTTACGCACATTAAGTACAAAGCTCACGCACATCAATTAAGGGAATAGGAATAAAAGACGAAGACGTATATGATGAAGAACACAGAGAGAGAGAGAGGAAGAGAGGATTAATGGAAAAGAGAGGAAGAGAAGACGAAGACGTATATGTACAGGAGCACATTAACATTACACACTCACAAGTACAAATCTCAGGCACATTAAGTACAAAACTCACGTACATTAACATTACACACTCACGCACATTAAATACAAAGCTCAAGCACATTAAGCACAAGACTCACGCACATTAAGTACAAAGCTCACACACATCAATCAACTGCACAACCGCACGGAAAGCACCCAATCGCACTGGAACCTTTCACTACACACACACACACACACACACACACACACACACACACACACACACACACACACACACACACACACACACACACACACACACACACACACACACACACACACACACACACACACATATATATATATATATATATATATATATATATATATATATATATATATATATATATATATATATATATATATATATATATATATACATACATACACTGGCGCACTTTAAATACACAACAGACGCACATTAAACACAAACAAAATATATTCAGAACACAAACTCACGCACCTTAAGCACAAAACCCACGCATCTTAAGCACAACCCTCACGCACCTTAAGCACAAAACTTACGCACCTTAAGTTTTAACAACAACTCACATTAAGTACACATTCACGCACATTAAGTACAAAATTCACGCACCTTAAGCACAAAACTCACGCACATTAAGCACACAACTCACGTACCTTAGGCACAAGACTCACACACCTTAAGTACAAAACTCACGCACATTAAGCATTACACACTCACGCACATTAAGTACAAACCTCAAACACCTTAAGCACAAGACTCACGCACATTAAGTACAAACCTCATACACCTTAAGCACAAGACTCACGCACATTAAGTACAAAACTCACGCACATTAATCACCTGCACAGCCGACTGAAACTTAAACCTATATAATAATAATAATAATAATAATAATAATAATAATTAGTATTATTATTATTATTATTATTGTTGTTGACTTGTTATTGTTGTTGTTGTTATTATTATTCTTTCCAAAAAGGTTGAACCTCCACCCTAAGGTCCCCCACACCCCGCTCCGACAGAGCATCTGAGAGAATATAAATCATGGTAATTCAACTGAACATGAACTAGGTTAGACATTTGCTTACTGCGCACAAGGAGTCCTCCTCATTTTGAGAGGTTGCTCCCACACTGCCACTGATGAGACTCGATCCCTGGTTATTTTTTCAAACTTTAACTTCTATTATTATTATTATTATTATTATTATTATTATTATTATTATTATTATTATTATTATTATTATTATTAGTATGCATACACACACACATGTATCTTTTTTTTTTTTTTTTTGGGGCACACATATATCTTTGTTTATATATGGGTTGTGCTTAATTAATACGGAGTAACTCTTTAATATAAATATGTATTTGTATTATATTATGGAGTAATAATTATTATTGTTGTTATTCTATTTCTTTCTTTCTCTCACACATATACATGTATATACAAAAATATAAATAAATAAATATAACATCCAGTATAAAGGATATTTATGTCATTTTAATAATTATTTCAGTTTTATTCCTTAAACTAACCAAACATTGGAATACAATTCATGAAGTTTATTCCTTTATAGTGAATCAAACAATGGAATATAATTTATATTCTTTATTTATATATATATATATATCTATTCCATTCATTATGGAATAGCATCCTTATTCTTTCATAATTCATTATGTGAATCAAACATACATTAAATGAAGAGTTTCAAACTCATTTTGAATAAATTGAATGCGAATTCGCCCAAATCTATTATCGTCTACTATGTAATCACCCCATAATTTCACCTAAACTAAGAAGTTTGGGTGAAATTTGTTAAGAAATATTACTACGAAAATAACAACTACAAGCAACGAAAAAAGGTTTCGGGTGTTAGTATGAGTCATGTGATACCTACATTATCCCTAAAACCTTATTTGCTACCTCCCAAATGTGTTAGGAGCGTCATAGCCTATGTTTCTCATGATAAAACGTACTACGGTTTAATGTTTGAGCACTCAAATATTTAAACCCAACGAATTAGAGAGTAAATTATATTTTTGGTCCTATGACTATAAGGGGCGTGTTAATTTCGGTTCGTGACAATTTTTAAAGCTAACAATTTAGTCCTTTAACTATGTTCTTTTTAGCATATTTGATCATCCCGGCTAAATCACCGGTGAAAATTGGCCCAAAAAAAGTAACACATTTTAAAGTATTTATAATTGGGGGTAAAATGGTCCTTTCACGTCAGTTCTTCTTCTTCCATTACCACCGCCGTCCTTTTCCTGTCGCCCCGCCATGGCGTTCTTCTCCCCCTCCATGTCCCTGAACCTCTGCAAGTATACCTTCAATGGCTCCACGTACTCTTTGAACCCCAGCGTCGTCATTGCCCATAGCAGGTCGTCGACGTTGATCATCTTCCGCTTCTCCCTCTGGAACTTGTCCGACGCCTCTCCGGTGATGAAGCTTATGAACTCCGACACACACTCCTGGACCGTCTCCTTCGCGTCCTTGGAAATCTTCGCGTTCGCAGGCAGCGCCTTCTTCATAATACGGCTCACGTTCACAATCGGGAGGAAACAGTCTTGCTCCCGTTGTGAGTTGTCGCCGCCGTGGCCGTCCCTGTGCCCTCTTGATTTGTTGTCGGAATCCGCCATTGAAGCTAAGTTTTGGAGTATAAAAAAATCGATATTAAAAGAATACGAAAACTATTTCACTACGACTGATGAAGAAATGATGTGGAAGGACCATTTTGCCCCCAATTATAAATAATTTAAAATGGGTTACCTTTTTCCGGCGAAATTTGGCTGGGAGGACCAAATCTGCTAAAAAAACATAGTTAAAGGACTAAATTGTTAGTTTTAAAAGTCACGTACCGAAATTAACACGCCCCATAGTCATAGGACCAAAAGTGTAATTTGCTCACGAACTAGAGCATGAGATGATCACATGAGGTTTGAGGAGGAAGTTGAACAGAGTTTCAAGAAGAGAAAAACTTATATTTTCAGTGTGCAAAATCAGTCATTGTAACCTTCATAACAAACGACCATTAACATGAGAATTAATTATGAAATTCAAAATTTGAATTAATTCATAATTAATTCCATAACATATGAACTAATACTTAGAACGGTACTCCGAAGAGTGGTTCGAATCGTGAATAGTTCAAATGGTAACTTCTCCGAAAGGTTACCGATTCAGACAGTCAAGGTTCGAATGGTTACTACTCGGACAATGACTAAAAATGTTGGAAAATATTTACAAAAAGTTGGCATAACACAAGTCAAGTCTTTTCAGACTCATTTTTAGATTTGATTTGTAATCTCCCTACGTGCAAAAGAGAATTCAATATACGCTATTGTATATATAGTGGTGCAAATTCTTTTGTTTTCTCAATGTTGGACAAAGACTATTTAAAGTCTTTACGCATTTATTTTTCACCTCAAATGAGTATATTTAAAAATCAATTTTTCATTCATCTATTATCTATTTTGAGATATAATATATCAATACAAAGACCTTAAATCTAATTTAACCCATGACAAATCAAAAATTGACCTCACATATATTTAAAATAACCACTCTCATGTCATTTTATGTTAGTTTTCCAACAAAATTCTTCTTCCCTTTTCCCTTTTATTCGCCCGCGTGACAACCCTGTTCGGAGACCCAATTGACACGCCAAATTTCGGGCTAATCGGTATCGGGTCCATCAGTGCTGCTCTCGTCTCAACTGAGAGGCGGTTGTCTCACATAAAGAAAGAAATGAATGATGGAAAGCAGAGAGAAGCGTCGCCATCTGTTTCGCAGAAATCTGGTAAAGCATTTCGTTCAATTCGATGATTCTTTCAGGACTAAGTTTCTAGTTGTGGTTGACATTTAATTGTTTCTATTTTTCTCAGTTTCTGATGATGATGAGATAGACTACTCCATCAAGCCAGAGTTTTACGACTCCGACCTCGACGACAAGGACGAATCATGGGTTCGAAAGAAAAGGGGTGGCCGTACTTCTGATGCCATACTCAGTTGCCCGGCTTGCTTCACCACGCTCTGTCTTGATTGCCAGAGGTATGCAGTGTGGTTATATTCTCTCCTCAAGCTTCTGTGTTAGTTGAGATATCTCTGATTGGTGTGTTGTTATTCGTTTAACTGACATTTAGGAATGAGTCCCTATCAATTCATAGATTGGGTACCGGTTTGAATTGAGCTTTGTTAATGTATTCATTTGGAAAGAAGGCTGCAATGCTCAAGCCATTAAAATGCGATTAGCTGAAAGTTAAAATACATAGGTAGAGTTAAGACTTAAGAGCTGTTGTTAGTGATGGAGAGGTTTCCTCAGATGCCAATATTTGATATATATATATATATATATATATATATATATATTTTTTTTTTTTTAAGGTCAAGTGAACTACTTCCTCAGAGCAATCTCTTGTTTAGGCTTGTTTTGATTTTAAAAAGAAAATATATAGTTACTACTATTAATAAATCTTCAGCTAGTAGTATTAGTTACTACTTACTACAATTTTTGTATTGTAAAAATAACAATATCATGGTCAGGTACTTATGCACAGAGTGAAAATGTTTTTGAGTTTGACACCAGAAGTCATATCTCACATCCTATCTGGATCTAAGGTGGTGAGTTATAACTCATGCTCTTGGCACATCAGAACATTTTTGTTGAAAAATCTAGGCAAGATTAAAGATTGAAAGCAAAGAGATAAGAAGAATACACAGGTTTCAATACGCTTATGTCCATAGGAGCGAAGCAGCTCTTTTGTTATGATTAAGAATACATCTCTAGAGTGACAGTATTAGTATTTGTTTGTACCAACCCATCTAACCGAAACCCCATACTTGGAGACAAGTACTCACATTTCACTTGAGCATCTGTCATCTCTTGATTGCATATGGGCTATATACAACAATCTGTGACCATATTGATGCTATGCATTCTAGACGGTCTCCATTGCCAGAATCATTTTAAATTTGAAAATGACTTGTTCATCTGATTTTTAGTGCCAAAGCTTGCTTCCCTTGTATTGTTAATGTAATCTAATAATGCCAAATAATCTGGGATCTTGCAGGCATGAAAAGAATGTAACACAGTATCGAGCCATTTTTGTGGTGAATTGTAAGATCAATGATGAAGTGATGACACAGCTTGGAAGTAAACGAAAGTGGGGCAGAAGGAATGGTGAAGCAGAGGCAGCTTCTGATAACAGTGGAACTTTTAAACATGTGTGTTGTGCAGTATGTTTAACGAAAGTTGGAGTCATCGATGAGGAGGAGGTCTATCATTTCTTGAATGTTCTTCCCAGCGAGTGTTGACTCTTTAGTCTATAACTTCATGCTAACTAATCTACTACTGTCCTAAATGTTTGTGTTAAACTAATGCCTACAAGTGTTGTTCGGGTATAAGTATGTATAATAGATTTTGTGTTGGAAGCAGCTGCTATGATTTTGTTTGCCATGTTGTGCTGAGGAAACTAGTATTCTGCTGCTTCTTGTTCTTCAAATTGTTTGTAATGACCAAAATTCTCACAATGAGTTCTGGCTGTGGTGGAATTAAATGAGACACATGTTGGGACTCACTACTCACTACTCAGGCAGGACTCAGGAGGAGTTCTGCCTCGCCTCTTCTTTTGAATGCCAATCCAGGGTGTCGTGTTCACAATTATTCAACTTTACAATTCACTGAATTCAGATAATATTACTCTCGCATTTGTACTAATTATTATCAATAATTTATTTCTCACTAATTAATATTCTAATAAGTGGAGTTGCCACAGTTGTTATACTATGGACCAGAGTTCATATTGCATTTTGAATCATGATCCAAAAATTACATTGTCAATTATGATCTAAAAATTATGTGTCAATTAATATATTTTTGTGAATCTTGATCTAAAAATTGTGTGTCAATTAACATATTTTGTACTTATAGTTAACAATCTCTGCACATAACATGGTAATTATATATACATAATTATTATGTGATGTGTCTTCAATTTGTTTACAAGTACAGAAATGGTTAATTTTTACAAAATTTAAAAATTATTTTTGAATAAGGATACACAATGCAAGATAGACCACATAGTATAATTTGCCAAATTGCCATCAACTCATCATCATCCGAGTTCACCTTGCAAGGTGGATCCGTGTTATATTCACAATTTTTGAACTGCATATTCACAATTTTTGAACTCTATATTCACAATTTTAGATCTCAATACACAATTACAGAACTCAATATTCACAATTTTTGAACTTTATATCCACAATTATAAAACTCTATATTCACAATTTCATAACTCTATATTCACAATTACAGAATTAAATATTCACTGGGTTATTTTTAATAAAATTTTTTTAAAAAAATTATTGATTGTGAATATGCAATTCTAAAATTGTGAATATAGAGTTAAAAAATTATGAATATAATTCATGTTCAGTTTGCAATGTGAACCGTGATCCATGGCATAACTATCCTCATAATCCACTGTTGGCAAGGCCCAGTATAAATTTCCATTCTTCATTCATTCATTCATTCTTCTAACCACATGAGCATAACCCAAAATGGAATCCCACCACAGCGCTTCACCTTCACCGCATCAACAGCAAGATCAACCATTTCCACCACCGCCAACCGCCTACCCTCACCAACACGCCGCCGCGGGAGCCTGCGCGAACTGCGGCGGCCCCACCTCCTATCCCTGTCCACCTCCCTCCGCGAACCCTACCTACATCCCCATCCGTGCTCCGGCTGTGAACCTCCCCCCTGCCAACACTAAGGAAATCATCATCCGTACGCCTGTCCCGCAGTCCCAAAAGGTGACCCCTCTTTCCCCTCCCTACCAATTTCAGTATCCGACAAAGAAAATCCAGTCTCAAATCGACGTCGATCGCTTCCACTCCTCCGCTGTTTGCCAGAACTTCCTCGGCTTCGTTGTCGCCCTCTCCGAGTCTATTCGCTCCCACAAGCTCTCCGATCCATGCCATGTCTCCTCCGCTGTCTCCGCTCTGGTTTCAGTCCTCCAAAGCTTGATTTCCTACGCCGATGAGATCCCTCCGGCGCCTCAATCCTCCCGATACGGGAACGTAGCTTATAGGACCTGGCACGAGCGAATGTGCTCCGGCGCTGAATCTTTCATGATTCAATTCCTTCCAAAGGAGCTCCATTCGGCTACTGTGGAGCTTGTTCCCTACTTCACTGATAGTTTTGGCAACGCTAGCCGAATCGACTATGGTGTGGAATTTTACCGAGTTTATGATTATCTGCAAGTAATTTTTGTATGAATTATTGTGTTACAAGTTTTATTATTGTTGTTGTTATTATTATTATTATTATTATTGATGTTGTTGTTGTTGTTAAAAAAAAAAAAAATAGAAATTTTATTACCGCAACAAAGAATAGGCTGGCACAAGTTTTGATTTAAAAAAAAATAAATGAATTTCAGTTGCGGTTGGGCCTAATTTTAAGTAATCAAGTATCGATATCTTAGTGCAGTTTGCTTGATGTTTTAAATGATATTGGTAGCAAAACAAGGATTAGTTTCTGGGATAATCCAGTCTTATGATGCACAATTGAAACTCTTATGTCTGTTAGGTGATATTACTGTCTGATTTTGTATTTCAGATGCAGTTTAAATGTAATGTTCTCATATGCAAATCTGATTACTAGAATGAACCAGAATTTAAGTGAACAATCATTAAAGCATCCTGATTTTTTACCCCACACTAGATCTGTTCTAAGATAATTAAGGGAGTGAAACTTGCAATTTTGTCATTGCCTTGAATTGATTAGCATTTCAAGGATTTTTTTTTTTTTTTCAAAAGATCTTAAATGCTCATTTGGTCCTGCTTGGTTTGTTAATATTGCTGTTTCTTACATATACTCATTTGTACTGTTATAACCCTTTTTTTTTTTTAAATCTTTATTTATATAGGAACAGGCCATGAAACAAATTTTGCTGCCTGGTTGTATTGTTTAGCAAGATTAGGAGTTGTGAAAGAAGATGATTATCAAGCTCTTGTTGCTAGGGTTTTTCTAAAATACTTGGAGCTGATGAGGAAATTGCAATTGACCTATAATCTTGAACCTGCAGGTTCCCATGGGGTGTGGGGACTAGATGACTATCACTTTTTGCCATTTATTTTTGGGTCCTCACAGTTAATTGATCACAAGTACATGAAGCCAAAATCAATTCATAATCAAGATATCTTGGAGAACTTTTCGAACGAATACTTGTATCTCTCATGCATTGCTTTCATAAAGAAGGTGAAGAAGGGGTTGTTTGCAGAACATTCTCCAATGTTGGATGATATAAGTGGGGTGCCAAATTGGAGTAAGGTTAATAGTGGTTTGCTTAAGATGTATAAAATTGAAGTTTTGCAGAAGGTTCCTATCATGCAGCATTTTCTTTTTGGTTCCATAATCAGATGGTATGTTTCTTATCCTCTTTATGTTTTTAAATTTAATAATGAACCATTGAAGTAATAACTTAGTATTTAATTGCTTGTGTTCTTATTCACAGGGAATGAAAAGGAGGAATATGATATGCCATCTGGATTTGGATAAACTAAAGTATCATCCATCAATAGGAAGAAATAGGTTTTGCAGCCTTTTCGCAGTTTATTCCTATCAACACCTCTGTTTTACTTTGCATTATCAATGATGAGATGATGTGCAGATGTGTATTGTGCAACAGGTCTTTTATTAATTTATAGTTTGTACTCTGAGTACAAAGTTGCTTGTCATTGTTCAGTGTCCTGCTCCTGCCTGCAATGTATTTTCATTTGTTCAGTGTCGCATACCACCAGCTTATATGTTGAACTAATCAGGTCCATTAAACTTGTTTTTTTTTTTTTGTTTTTGTTTTTCCCTGCCGGATGAAAAATAGTGCTTTTTGGTTTTTGGGTTTAGGATTGCAATATAACAGTGCACCATGGAGAAATTAATCAATCAGTGATAACTCATATGTTATATTCACTGCAACCACGTACGTACACAGAATTGGCATATAACCATGCAATAGAGACAGACAGACTTATACAAGAAGGAAATACTGAGTCTTAACGTAACAAAACAAAGAGCTCGCTTGGCTTCATCATCAAATATAAATGTCATGCATCACCTTAACAACTTTGATACTCATCTCTCAGAACTGTAATGGCATTTGGATCAAGGCTCATATATAGCTTGCTACCACAGAGTCTCTCAAAGTAAGAACGTGCCAAACCAAACTTCCGTGCCATAGGGGACCTTACCCAGCCTGAATGATTTCTTGGTTCACCGGTGACTAAAGTTACTGTCCCCTCCGTGGCAAAGTTAGCCAATGGGACTAGTGTCTCCGGTTCAGTGGCAGATGAGGCATCCACTAAAAAGATATGACTGAAATGCCCAGCCTTTATTCCCACATTGTGCAGTCGGTAGCTACTCATAAAAGTGGATAAAATTACCTTATATCTACAGAGTTCGTTCAGCAAAGGACAAGAAAAACACTCTGTTTTATCTTCATATAGGCAAGAAGGAAGGATGTCTAGAGGCACTCCATCCCGTTCTCGGAATGCTGCATTGGCCCGAAACATGTCATGCTCAGGAACCTGCTTCTTGAGTGCTCTCATGATTAAGTCACATGTTTTGTTTGAAGGTGCACACAAAAGAACCCGGTTCAGCGGAGATGCTCGGCAAAGTTCCACTACTGCTGCAACAATCAGATTTTCTGTAACAGATATTGGTCCCTTCACAAGGTAAGGAGGTGAAGCCTGGAGTCTCAAAATCTTATCAAGGGCAGAGGATTGCTCTGAGTCAAGTGTGTTATAAGCAAAGAAATGCTTGGAGAGAAGTCTATTTTCTGGAAGGAATTCAGGGAATAGGAAGTTCCTGAACAAGGGACCTGATGCGGACTCAATTGCCTGGTGAGCACGTTTCAAACAAACTCTGTTGAATGAGAACTTGACTTCATATTTGTAGTCTGGACAATGCTGAGAGTGAAAGTCTTCTCCAAATTCTGCTAGTAATAGATTGCTTTTCACCACACGGTAGACAAGGCCCTGTTGTAAATAGAAGCACAAAGGTACAAGTTAAAATAAAAAGAAGAACTTCAGTTGTTACCAGTTAAATATCCCAGACAAAAAAGCAATATGTTGCCATGGATTTTTGGCATTATGATAGATAAGTTGAGCGGTTTCCACAAATTATCTGAAACATTAATGAAGAGATCATAGAATATGAAATGCTAACAGAAGTCCTTGGTTCAATACTTGGCCCTTGTACTACATCTATAAAAACTATAACACATATGCTGATGAAGTGTGTTATAGGCCAGGATATCTAGGATCGCGTCACAGGCTTAGAAACTTAGGAATAAAAATGAAGCTTTTCTGGAGTGCTTCTTCTCCCCAAATGAAGCGTTTTTGTGGAGTGCTTCTTCTCCCCCAAATGAAGCGTTTTTGTGGAGTGCTTCTTCTCCCCCAATCTTCCCTTCAATAGGAAGCCCAAAAATATAAATTTCCAAGATGTTTTCTTACCTAGGCATCTATTTATAGAAGATAAAAACTACCCACTACCTCTAACTACCTAGGAAGTGGTCATCCCACTACTACTATTACAATAGTGGTCATCCCACCACTACTACTACAATAATAATAATAATAATAATAATAATAATAATAATAATAATAATAATAATAATAACTGCAGAACACGATCCCCCCAAATAATAACTGCAGAACACTTGTATCAAAGTGCTGTTTAAAAGCTAGAACTCAGGCAAGTGATATTGGCAGAGAAGATTGGAATCAGTTATAGTCAGTGCAATAGGGAACATAAATGCTTCAAAAGTACTAAATTGTTTATTATAAATTACAAGTTCAGTGCTAACCTCAAAGAGCAGGAAATTCTTCTTTGATGGTCGACGCAGTGAGACGAAATCCCTAGATAACAGGAAAGGCCTTTTCTCTGGAACTTTGTCAATCTCAAATGCTACAAATGTCTTTTCATCTTTTTTATCATCCTCATCTAAGCTGTTGAGTCTACTTCTTTTGTAAGTTGCTGCATAGTGCAACTCCAAGGTGACATTCTTCATTTCAAAATGATCCCATTTCTAAACAAAAATAAAAAGGTGTAAGTAGTTTCTTTGTGATGAATGATGATAAAGTGAAACTAAATATTTGAATGAAGAAGTAAATTGGTATCTGATGCAACACCCTCCAGAGTTCCTTGATAAGTCATATGAAATCTCCAGCTCCAAGTACTAATAATAATATGCTCAAATTAAAGTAGTAATAAATAAAAATGGAAGCCTCTAATATAATTACCTCCAGATAGCAGTCCTCAGCATACAGTAAGGCACGGAAGTAATCCTTGTAAGTTGAGATAGACAAAGGGTTGTTGAGAACTCGTGGCACAATATCCTTCTCAATTAGTCCTTTTATATCATCAGGAGTTGAAAATGTAGGTGATGCAGCCCCATCAACCCAATGGTATTTAGTTTTTGCATTATGATTTGTTGAATCCTTAAATAAGGTAGGTTTGGTGGAAAAGTCAGGCTTTTTTGGAACAGGAGATGGTGATGATGAAGTTGTATTAACAGAAGAGGAAGAAAGGAAATCTCTTGGCTTTATCGAAACTTCACTTTGCTTGTGTGAAATAGATGAGGAAGAAAGGAAATCTCTTGGCCGGTTTGGAGAAACTTGAGTTACCACCTTGTCCTTGTGTGAAGAAGAAGAAGAAGAAGAAGAAGAAGTCAAGGATGAATAAGGGTGTTGAGAAACCTGACTTAGCAGCTTCTGTGAAAAGGCAGGTGGCGGTTTCGCAGACGACAATGATGAAGAAGAAGAAGAAAGTTTGGTGGAAGAGAAAGAAGCTGGAAACTCAGCCAAAGCTTTTTGCTTCTTCTCTATTTCTAATTCTGCCTGAAAGCCGCATTGCCGTCGCAGCCTATTCTCATTTGGTTGGGTTGTGAAAGGAAGTTTAGTACTTGGATCGGAGGTGACTCTCCCCTCTGACAAGGAACCATAATCATTTATAACTTGAGAGTAACTGTAATGCTGACCCCATCCGGTTTCTGCTCCATCCTCCTTCCCGCTTCCACAACAAAGAACAACTTGAAAAATTTCGACGCAACGGCAAATTAGATCCATCATCTATTATTCACGTACGCTCGCGCGTTAGCTAGGGTTCAACTGTTATCAAGGAAGGGGAAAGGAAAACGTCATATCATAGCTGATAATCGATCACATGTAGTATATTCTTTCTTTTATGAATATATGTTAAATTAGTTGTACATAATACATATCCATTCCAATTTGTATTACCAGTAGCTATAAAATCATACTACAGCTTGCTGAATTAGACAGAGAGTGAAGAACGAACAAACAAACACTGGTAAGCACGCCATCCTTGAGATTGAGAAATTCATATATTTATATATATCAAGGACGTACGGATGACTCACCTTCAATTTGATGGATGAACTATGAAAACTAATAAAGCTGATGAGGATCAGTTTAATAACTGTAGCCTGCCATTCGATCAAATTACGAAGGTCAAAGAGCAAGAAGAAGCGACTTGAGATCGAATCTAATTAGACAAAGTAATCTGTAATCAGCACTAGCTAGCAGTGTATTCCTTTACTTAAAAGTAAAGTTTAATCCACTTGCATGCCTAAAAGATTATGATGTTTAATTTCCTTGTTTATTATAAACTACTACTATGCAAGTCTAAAACAAAACTTGGTGCAGCCGCCGCTAGTTAAAAATGAAAAAGCCACGATAGTCAAAGGAGCCACTGTTCAAGTTTCAATCCTCCAATCACATCATTATGCCTCAGAAGTAATTATAATTTTGATTGGAATGAGGGATTAGAGGAAAAAAAAATAAAAATTTGTAAGTAGTATAAATTTAAATTTCATGTTAATTTGTCAGATTATGTTCATTATATATTTATTATGGTTTTTTGTTGTTGTTGCAGTTTCATATATATATAGTTTCAATTCTGTTTTCTTCTTCTTCTTGTTTTTTCCAATTCTTATATTTATCTATTTTTATGTTTAATTTTTTCCTCCAAATTTTGTATACATACACGTGAAGTACACAAACGGGATAAACCCAGTTCATTTATAGTACAAAAAATCAACCACATAATCACATATATACACTCTACATAAAATAAAATAAAAAAACATACGATCTAGGGAGTCAATCTCAAAACAAGATCATCACAACATAGTTTATCAATCACAGGATTCACAGCCTCATCCAAACCCAAACCCAGAACAATCTTCAACCCTAAACCTAACTACATACCAGTGGTAGTTAAGCAATTGTCATCCATAATATACAAATTTTCTGACAGATGAAAGAGAGAAGACATAGAGAGGACAATTTTAGTATCAAATCAAATAATACAGGATAAAGAATAAAGAGAAGACACTTGTTTATAAGGGAAATAACCCCCCATTGATCTTCAAAGATAGATTATAAGGGAAATATCCCCCATTGATCTTCAGAGATAGCTCCTTGTTTATAAGGGAAATATCCCCCCATTGATCTTCAAAGATAGCTTGCTGGCTTACCTTTGCATCAGAAGCAACTCACAGAATCCTCAGCTTTTCAATCTCAAATATTATATATCAAATTAAAACATCTTGTTCTCCCAAGTTCCCATTAAAAATTACGCTACAACATTCAGGAAACTGCAACCCTGCCTCCTCACACTCAGCTTTAGTGATATGTGGGCAGGACCGGACATCTAGATATTCAAGAGAATTACACGACTTCAAAAGCTTGTCTATTCCTGCAACAGTGATTTTTGAACAATTACTTACTTTCAAAATCTTCAAAGCCAACTTGCACCCTTCATTTCCTAATTGCCGAAATGCAGCATCTGTTACCTCTTCGCAGCAACCAATGTCAAGAACCTCAAGCTTTCTGCACCGCATTAGAATGCTGTCCAGTGAAGCGTCTGAAATATTTAAACACCAATCCATTCGTAGTCTCCTCAAACTATTGTTACAAGCATCAGCCAGTAATATCATAGACTCATCAGATATGTCCCGGCAGCCACCAATTATAAGCGTCTCCAAATTTTTACAGTATTTGGCCACGTTGGAGATTGACTCGTCACCAACTCTATAACAGTCTAACATCTTCAATGTTTCCAATGTTGCTGAACATACTCTGGATACATCAAAAATACCAGTATTTCCAATATTGCTGCATTTGTTGATATCTAAGTGTTTCATTCTATGACAACCTTCAACAAGAACAGTGATACCAGAATCAGTAATGTTGGTGCATCCTTGTAAACCCAATTCTTCTAGATTATGACACTTCTCCGAGAGAGCTTTCAATAATGCGTCTGACACAAATCTACAGCCAGCAAGATGCAAGGCCCTCAGGTCATGACAACCTCCAGCAACAGCTGATAGCCCCTTATCTGTTAGTTTTCTGCAGTAAGATACATCTAAGGACTGTAGAGAGCTGAGACCAGAACCAATGGCTCTCATTCCAACATCTGTTATGCCTGTAAATCCTCAAACAGGACACAAAATAGCTAAGCTCATATCTCAATTTACATATTCATAAAGAAAGAGGGAAATTGAAATTAAACATATATTAGCAGTTCAAAACACTTATACTAGTAAAAATGCTTATCTGTTTTCAGCAATTATTTACTTAACAAGTGAAAAATGGTAAGGCTTTGGCAAAAGCCACCAATTCTAAATACACAAGTGGTATGATAATAAGAATAAGACCATACTTTATGCCAGTTCAACATATGAAAACTACAGATCTTGATAGTCCATACAATAGTATTCATTGTTGGTACCTATATCCATGAAACATTTAGCCTAAAAAATAAAACAGAAACGCTCAAAATTTACCACATTTATTCATAGAAAGGGAAGACCAAGAATTGATCCTTGCAATTTTGATGTTTTTTTGAAGTTAAACTAAATTAACTAATGAACCCAATACACTCCATATTAACAAACGTTTCTCATTAGTAATTATTATTAAGAACCTTGGGAGTTCTCAATAATTATTTTATTTTATTTTCAAATTCAGACCTATTAATTAACAAATGAACTTGAAATTGTTGTGATAATTCCACCCCAGCGAATGAAAAAGAATACGATTTGCAGTTAGTTAATCGATCAAAAATATAACCCAAAACTATTGAAAAAAAAAAAAAAAAAAAAAGTAGAAGGGCTGACCTTTGCAGTTTTGAAGATTGAGAATTTGCAAGCAAGAGAAAGCAGTGGCGATGACGGAGAGATCGTCGTCAGTGACGCCAGGGAAGAAGGACCTCGAGACAGACTGGGAGAGATCCAGCTCGCGAAGGCGGGTGAAGCGTGCGGCGAGTCGGCAGAGCATGAAGGGGCCAGCCCTGGCGCAGAGCTTCTTCCTCTCAGTGCTCTGGAGGCGGAGCCACCGCTTGCAGACCAACCCGAAGTTTTCCTTGTCCTTATCGCTCCCCAGTCTTGCCAGCACGGCACGAAGCTCGTCATCTCCCAGGCTGTCGTTAATGCAGGGATTATAGATTACGGCGCCGATTTTGGAGTCTGATTCACAGGCCATGGAGACAGGAAGAAAACCAGCCTATTAGACTATTTATTTATTTTTATTGACAAGGAGAGACTCTGGAAGCTTCTTCTTCTTTTTTTTTTTTTTTAATTTAATCCAAGTTTTTGGATTTATATTAACTGTGATGTGATGTGATAATATAAATAACGTATAACTTTTACCAAATGTGAGTATAAAAGATAAAAATTGTGACAAGTAAAAGAATTTGATAATAAATTTAATATTAGTGTATAAATATATAAGTAGATAATTGTGAAAATATATAAATAATTTTTTTTCTTTTATATAGTGATATATAATCAAAAGGAAAAAAAGATTTATAGAAAACTATATAATTTTTTTTTATACTAGGACTATGTGGTCCAATGGTACCTGGGTTGGACTTCCATTTGGAAGATTGTGAGTTTGAGCCTCTGTGGAGGCGTTATTAGCTCTTTGTGTAGAGCGAGTAGCATTCAAAAAAAAAAAATATTTTTTATTTTTAAAATGAAAAACTGTGATACTACACATGTTTTTTATTTTCTATCTTCTAATTTTTTAATTTTTCAAAAATCATGATAAATTATCTTGTTCTTGACAATAATTAAATCCCACTACACACTTAAAAATAAATCTTAAGTAAGACTTGTCATCTACTATATTAATATCAAATGATTGGACTTTGACATTATGTTAAGTTGGAAATTGGAATAACATTAATATATTTTGGAACACAATGCTTATACCCAAGGCCTTGAACAAGATGAATCGAATTCATTTTAGTATATTGTATGTTAATTTTTAGTATATTATAAATTCATATGAATTTGAATTTGTAATATATAAAAAATGAGCATGTAATAAAAATAAATACATACTCATATTAATTAAAATATAATGAATTCACTAATATGAAATATATAGCACATTAAGAATATACTTTAAAAGTAAATTCATACCTGATATAATTTGTCTTCAGAACAATTAATAAGTAAAATGCGATACTACATGATACTGTTAATTCTACGCAAGCAATATAAAACAAACCCGAGACCAAATAAAGCAAGTAAAAGATTTTATTGATCACGGTAAAGGCCCTAAGTACAATCTACTTGGTTGCTCTGAGTACCGACTGACTGCGGTCGGGATTCTCTAGTAACAACCTATCGATCGTCCAAAAGTCCTTTCCACTGTAGCTACTGTGGGTATTTATAGCCGCTATGCCGGGGACAGGTTTCCAGCCGTTCGGCATGTCCTCCACGTAGCCACCACGTGTCATCCTCCCGGGTGCCCTATCTGTCGTCGTAGAGAGCCGCCACGTGTCCTGTTGTCAGCTCTCTTGCCAAAGGGCTACCGCTCGGCGGTCGACAACGATGCTCGGGCAACTCCCGGTCGCTTCCCGACCGGGTTCTTCATAAATACCCGACCTGTTACCTACAAAGACAGAAAGACAAAGACAAAGGTACTGGGGTCGGGGTGGAGCTTATGTCGGTCGGGATATTCCCTACCACTACATTTTGTGTGAATAAGTGATTTCATACCTGAGATAGTGAAAGGGTGGAGAGGACTGAGTCGCTGATTTAAAACGGGTGAAGGAGACTGAATTTAGAGCTTTTGTAGGTTTGTGCAATAGTGTTAGATTCTTATATTGCTGGTGTTGGGTAGGTTGCAATGACCGTCATTATATCATGCACCGCGGTGCATAATCGATTATGCACCGCGCGTCAAAACGGCACTGTTTCTGCAGTTATAACGGAGTGACATTATAATGTGTCTAAACCGACACTGTCTCACGTATTATTTTTATATTATCAAATGAAACTGTAGTTATATCAAAATAATACTGTTGTTGTGGTGAAATGAAACTACAGTATATATAAAATGAAACTGAATAACATTTCATATATTTGAGTGTATATTGTACAATGAAGCTGTAATTATATTGAAATGATCATGTAGTTGTGTTTTAATGAAACTATAGTGTATATAAAATAAAATTAAATAAGATTTTCACATATTTGAGTGTATAAATATTGAATAAAACTGTAGTTATATCAAAATGAAACTGTAGTTGTGTTGAACTGAAACTGCAATGTATACAAAATGAAACGGAAGAACAGAGTTATTTTTTTGCGAAGATTCAGTTTCTTTTCATTAAACAAAACGACATCGTTTTGATGTGCAGTGCATGATCAATCATGCACCGCGGTGCACGATATAATTTGCGTTGCAATGAGCATTGGGCTATTTGGCTGATATTAAGGCATTTGGCTTTGCTTATGGAGTGGTCATCTATTAGGCTAAACCACAAATACATACACATATACATATATTATATGTATAAATATAAAATTAATTAATAGTATATATATTGTCTATTATTCGGTCACCGTAAATTTTGAACATCAATAACTGAAAAAAACCAAATAGCCTGAAATGGGCAAATGTTCCATTTTGAACAATACTTTACACGTCAAAAATGAAGCAGAGAACAAGCAGCAAAAGAATTTAGAGCAAATGGTCAAAACAGCATCTCCCGTCAGTATGTAGACTCAACAATGTGGTTCTATTAACCTTTACCTCAGGAAAAGGGTATCTTCTATTTTGTTTCAACGAATTGTACATGTTATGTATGTATCTTCACGGAAAGAATATAAAAGAATTTGAGGCTGGTTAGCAGTTATTTAAGATGAATGGCTGCAACAGGTCAGCACACAATCCTCCAAAAATTGAGCGAGCTCAGAAGTATACAGTTCTGGATGATTCCGGAAATGGTCAACATGGGGGGTAGATATGAAGTTGCAAGCTCTAACCTCACGACCAGTCCGTCGCTGTCCCTCTATAAAGGATTCCACAGACCCTGCAGGAATAACTTTGTCCGCTGTGCTGTAAATGTATAACTGTGGGCAGCTGGGTTGTTGGGATGTCAGTAGATTCAAAACATCAGAGAGCCTCCTGAGATTTCAAAAAGTACAGTTAACAAGGAGCTATATAAACAATTCATTTCAGAAAAGAACTACACAATCTAGTTAGATTATCATAGGCATTGATATGACCATTAAGACACTTACATCAAGTTCAGTTGAGTTTCGGAATTAGTTCTCACTCAACCAATTTATACACAAACAAGTGCTTGAATACTTGAGAGCTGAAATTCTCTTTGTATCCCTAAATAAAATTCATGTACGCAAAAAGTCTTTACCTGTTTACCGTTGGAAGATTCAAAACCACCTCAAAGAACTTCTCCAGCACTAGTAACAATGCTGCTTCAGTTACTGCAGGTCTGGCATCTACAACTGTCCTTGCTGCAACCGTTGTCTCTGAATGAGGTTCACTTAAGTTTACAAAACCTTTGGTTGCAAAACTATTCTTTTTAAGAAAAGCAGCTGAGAATCCTGAAGCCCAAACCTAGATAAGGCAAACTCAATCAAATTCAAAAGGAAATGCAACGATCCAAATGCTTACAGTTGCTTGAGGCATATCGTGCATGACATTACAAGAAAATGAATGGAAGAAAACATCCAGAAGAGGGACACATTTGAAAATCCCCATACATATGCGTGATTTACAACATAGTAATGCAAAGATGGAATAAATTTGGAGATTTGTATCCAGAAGCCTCCAGAAATGCTAAGCATAGTGTTCTTCATAGCCATTTTAATTAAGCAAATTAGAAAGCAAGATCCAATACAACTGACGAAGAAAAGTCTGTGAAAGAAAAAGTACTCCAAACCAATATTTATTTAACCAGCATTACTTGAGACACAGTATTTACAAAAGTGATGAAGCAGGGTTATATCACAAATGTCCGCAGACAATATTACCTGTGGGTCAGCAGCAGCCACAGGAGCAGAATCCACAATACAACCCTTTATCCTTTCCTTTAGTGTAGGATACTGTTTCTGTAACTTCTCCAAAATGACTCCATAACTGTTTTAAGGATTGTAAAAGAAGAAAAACAATTAGGCAGTGGTCTGCGGTCCACAAAAGACATATATCTTGCATGGTGAGGAAGGGGGGGATGCTTCTAATGAGAGAAGGACTCACATTAACCATCCAGTGTTGCTGAAAGTGTGGAAAACCAAATTTTTTCCGTGCTCTTCTTCCAACCAATCAGCAAGATGATTTACAAGCAATTCTACATCGTGCTCGGTTTTCCCCCCAACCTGATAGCTAAGAATCTCAGGCAAAGGAAATGTATATGTGACAGCATGGAAGCCTTTGGAGTTATACCACTCTGCATATCTCTTGAGATGCCTCTGCTTTGCCCCTAACCATCCTAGCAATATAACCAGTGTCCTTGACTTTGATGATGAGCAGTCAGAACATCCGGATACATCAATAGAACTTGGCTTGGGCAAATGCCATATATATAATCCTTCGTGAGGTGAGGAAGGAAGAGGATGCACACATGTAGCTGGATTTGCAGACCTGTCCAATGCTGCAGTCCGATACAAATTGAGTAAAACAGGGGAAGAAGCTGAAGAGGTGAAATGACTTGGAAAAGAGCTTTGACTGGAGGTAGAAATAGGGCTTTGTATGTGTGACACTGGGACTTGTATTCTGGTGACAAAAGACACGCTAGCAAGCTTGGAAGCTGATATATGATGCACCCATGATTTCTTCTTTTCTTCAATTGCTGCAGAGTGTACAGAACTTGGCTGTTCCAATGACAGACAACTTTCCGATGATTTGGAGGGTTGCAATTTATCATGAAGATCGGCAGAAACAGAAGCTAAGGCAACTGCAGAGGCTGCAAGTACTGGCCTTTGAAGGATTCCAGACAAGGAACCCATGATACCTTACAAGAGTTACTTTCATACGACTATCAAAAGATCCTAAAATAAACAACAGAGATACCAATAAATTCTTCAAGTAAATGTCCAAAGAGGTTCTAAAATATGAGCACTTGCATAATATTAGTACAGGAAGATTGATGAGCCCTGACAGGATTAGGCTCCTCTGTAATAAAAATAACCCCCAAATAACACGAAAAAAAAAAAAAAAACACAAACATGTGTTCAA